CTGAGCGTGCTACACCTGGAGGAGCCCTCTCCTCCCAGCAGCTGCAGGAGAGGTACCTCGAGTACTGCCGCCTCCGGAGAGGTGCTGCTGGAGCTCGTCCCGGTACTTCCCCTCCTACCCAGGAGCTCCCCCCCATTCAGCAGTCTTCGGAGTGGTGCTCCTGGTGCTGCGGACCCTGGGGGTGGCGCTGCTGCTGGTGCTGAGGACCCGGACGTGGGAGCTGCTGCTGGTGCTGCGGACCCGCCTGGTGGAGCTGCTGCTGGTGCTGAGGACCCGGACGGTGGAGCTGCTGCTGGTACTGAGGACTCGGACGGTGGAGCTGCTGCTGGAGCTGAGGACCCGAGCGGTGGCGCTGCTGCTGCTGCTGAGGACCCGGGCGTTGGAGCTACTACTGGTGCTGAGGACCCGGCCGGTGGAGCTGCTGCTGGTGCTGTGGACCCGGCCGCTGGAGTCTCCTCTGCTTCTGGAGACGCTGCGCGGCCGCGACCGTACTTCGTACCGCTCCTTCAGCAGGTTCTTGGGCAGGCTCCTCCTCCTTGTCCTCCTCCCTCCGTAGAGTGTCCTCCGCCTGTCCAGCCGCAGTCACAGTTACCGCCTACCTCGCCTCTCCCTGCTCCCTCTCCTTACACTGGTCCCACAGGAGGTCTTACAGAGCGTCGTGAGCCTGAGTCTCGTCCTGCGTCGCCTGTTCGTCCTGCTCGCACTGGTAGTCGTGTCCATCGTGAGCGTCCTCCTCCTGTCCCAGGCACTCATTACATGACTCTGCGTCCCTCTACTGCTCCTCAGCGTGTCCCTCTACCGTCTCCTCCTGCGTCCTCTTTGCCTCACGTTCCGGACCCTGAGTCTGACCGGTACCGTGCTGAGCACCCTACTGTCACTCGTCTCCTCGCTACTGTTGTCACTGACCCTACCTTTGAGTCCTCGGCTGCGTCTGCTCTGGTCTCTGAGTTGGTTGACTTTGCTGCTGCCTGTCGTCTAGACTACGCTGCTAGCCTTGTTGCTGAGTCTGAGTCTGAGTCTGTCTGTCCTCCGTCCGTCGGGGGTGAGTGTGCTCTTGGCACGGACGTCCTTGAGGACAGACAGGAGGAGTTCCAGTGTCTTGCTGCTGCTTTGCCCCGTCTCGTGTCCTTGCTAGTTGCCCCTGAGGGAGACCCGGATGCACCAGACATCCCGACCCCGCGCACTTACGCTGAGGCGATGGCGGGTCCCTACTCCTCTCAGTGGCAGACAGCCATGGACGCCGAGATGGCTTCCTGGAAGTCCACACGCACCTACGTCGACGAGGTTCCCCCTCCTGGGGCGAACATCGTCAGTGGCATGTGGATTTTCAGGGTGAAGCGGCCGCCGGGTTCTCCGCCTGTCTTCAAGGCGCGTTACGTGGCTCGAGGCTTCAGTCAGCGAGAGGGAGTTGACTTCTTCCAGACCTTCTCCCCCACCCCGAAGATGACTACTCTTCGGGTGCTGCTGCACTTGACTTCAGCACTGCTTTCTTGCAGGGCAACCTGCACGAGGAGATCTGGCTGCGCCGCCCACCTGGCTTCACTGGGTCGTTTCCTCCTGGTACCCAGTGGAGGCTTCAGCGGCCGGTCTACGGTCTCCGCCAGGCTCCGCGTGAGTGGCACGACACACTGAGGACTACACTTGCGGCTCTTGGGTTCGCGCCTTCTACAGCTGACCCGTCGCTGTTCCTGCGCACCGACACTTCGCTGCCGCCGTTCTACATCCTCGTGTACGTCGACGACTTGGTCTTTGCCACTGCTGACACTGCAGGACTCGCCTACGTGAAGTCGGAGCTGCAGAGGAGACACACGTGCACAGACCTGGGTGAGCTGACAAGCTATCTTGGCTTGCGGATCACCCGGGACAGAGCACGGCGCACCATCACCCTGACTCAGTCACACATGGTGCAGCAGGTTCTCCAGCGCTTCCGCTTCACGTACTCCTCGCCTCAGTCCACTCCTCTGCCTACCGGTCACTCGCTCTCAGCTCTGCCTTCGGATGAGTCCGTAGAGCCGAGTGGCCCGTATCCAGAGCTTGTGGGCTGCCTCATGTACCTGATGACCTGCACTCGACCTGACCTTGCATACCCTCTTAGCATCCTTGCACGCTATGTCGCTCCTGGCCGTCACAGGAAGGAGCACATGGATGCCGCTAAAAGGGTGTTGCGCTACTTGTGCAGTACGTCGGGCATGGGGCTTGTGCTTGGAGGGCGAGACCGAGTTGTTCTCACAGGGCACTCAGACGCTTCTTGGGCAGACGACCAGGCCACTCAGTGGTCGTCTCAGGGTTACACCTTCAGCCTTGGCTCTGGCTCAGTTTCTTGGCGCTCTACACGCTCTTCTTCTGTTCTCGGCTCCAGTTGCGAGGCTGAGATCTACGCTACAGCCATGGCTGCCCAGGAGCTACGCTGGCTGACCTACCTGCTGACCGACCTCGGAGAGCCGCCTCGTTCTCCTCCAGTACTGTACGTCGACAACAAGGCTGCCATTGCCTTGTGTCTGGAGCACAGACTGGAGCACAGAACGAAGCACATCGCCCTGCGGTACTTCCTTGCTCGTGAGCTGCAGCAGCGCGGTCAGCTTTGTATTCGCTACGTGGCCACTGAGGCCAACACTGCTGATGTGTTCACCAAGGCGCTTCAGCCTCGTGACCATCAGCGCTTCTGCACTCTACTAGGCCTTGTGCCTACTGGACCTCACTTGCTTACCTCTTGACTTTGCTTGTACTGTGATCACTATATATATCTATACCTGCATGTTTACTCTTGCTAGGTTGTGATCACTGTATCTCTTGCTCTGTTATAAACCTGCATGTGAACTGGTCTTGTGACCACTAGCTTGTGCTCGGAATTTGTGTGGAATCCTTGAGATCCACCCTGAGCTTGCCTTCCTTTGCTTTGACTGGTCTCGTGACCCTGTGGTTGTCTCCCACTGCGCCTATGGGGGTGTGTCAAACATTATATGTTTATATGATTGTAGGCTGTAGTGGGTTACACCTTAGGGGGTACACTAGATTAGGGTTTACTACTTGTATCCAACTTTGTGCTAGTACAGTCATTCCTGTCCGTTCATTCTGACATTCTAGCTACTCTTATTCTCTTTATGGTTCTTAAGTGGATAATTGTGAGTGAGTTAAGTTTAAGCTCCAGCATACCTCCTAGCGCGCTGAAATTCATAACTCAAAATTTACTTCATCTTTTTGTGCGATTCAAATTGGGAATTGTAGCCACACTCGAGAGCTACAACATAGCTGATTTTGGTGAAGTTCTACCGGTGAAGTTTTTCATCGACGGCGTTTCTTGTGAAGACGACAGTTCTGTCCAGAATTTTATACCAACGATTTTGAGATATTTCGGCCCCTAAACGTTCTAGACTCCGTCCTTAGTCTCTAAAAAGTGGTATCAGAGCTGATTGAGGACCTTGTCAAGAGTCTACTGAGGTGTGAAGACCCTCCTAGACCCACCATGGCCTGTGGGCGTGCCTAAGTGGAGTTCTAGAGGTTGGATGTGACTTCCGCTAAGGGGAAACTCTGCCGAAATTTTGTTGGCGCCGACACTTGTGAAAATATTGTGAGACTTCAGTGTGGACAGCAAGGGGGGAGCTGAAACCTGAGATTAGGAGAAGAGAAGATGAGGCAAGAGAGTGGAGAAGCATCTGAGAAAATGAGTGAACCGCCACCATCCAAGATCGAAGCTTTGGATGGCTCCAATTATGAGGAATGGAGTGGGCAGATGAGGAGTGCCTTCAAATGGTACAAGATATTGAAGTTGGCTATGGGAGAAGAGAAGACGCTGGAGGAAGGTGATGCCCACGATCGGTGGATTGAGAAGTTTGCGGTGTTGTTTCACCTCATCCTACAATCGATCAACAACGATATGTTCCAGCACATCAAGGACTTAGTGGAGCTAGATGACTCATGACCGAAGGCATGGAAGCTACTATGCGACGCAAGTTGGCTGCCCTCTCCATGCGACCGGGAGACGATGTGAAGCCGGTCCTTGACAAGATCAAGGACACTTATGCGAGGATGGCAGCGGCGGGCAGCAAGGTGTCGCAGATGCAGCAGTGCACGAAGATCATCTCGGTGCTAGACAACTCGTGGGACAACCTTATCCCCACCCTCAACACTGAACAGGACCAGTGGACACCTGAGTGGCTACGGCAGCAGATTCTGCAGGAGGACTTCCGCAGTTGCCATACGAGAGGCGGTGCTGCCAACAAGACTGCTGAGGGGTACGGAGCTGCAGGCGGCAGCGGAGGAAGAGGGGGTGGAAGAGGCCGAGGCCGTGGGAGAGGCTTTGGCAGAGAGAGAGGTCTAGATGACTACAATGAGGGGCATGGGAGCTCTGGTGGCAGGGGGAGCACCCGAATGGAGGGAGCTTGCTGGTACTGCAAGAAGGCTGGACACCCGTGGTTCAAGTGTTTCAGCCGGCCTGAGGGATGGGCGCCTCCAGGCATGAAGCCGCCAAGTAATGAACGTGCAAACGGTGGTGCTGTGCGAGGTTTATGTGCATAAGGAAAAGCCTTACCTTGGATGTTCCTCATGGTTGAATATGTGAAAGAGAGTGAGGGTGATGTGGGTTCGCCTGGAAAGGTTGTGATGCACCCCCTCACTCACTGGGTGATCGATTCAGGTTGCACAAGTCACATGACCCCACGGGCAGATTTGCTTGATGAGGTAAAGCCCCCCCTAGGAAGATCAAGTTTGTGGCTGCCGCTTCAGGTGCTTTGCTCCCTGTGATTGGTGTTGGGAATGCTAAGGTGATGGGAGCCAATGGGGAGCTTGTGGGGCTTGGAAATATACTGTTGTGTGAAGGTTAGTTCGCTAACCTTCTTTCTGTGCGCCGGCTGCAGAAGAGCAAGGCCAAAGTGACATTTGGCCCAACCAACTGCCGTGCAAAACTTGGGAAGATGCTACTGTGGAGCCTATTTGGAGGAGAAGAGCAGCTGCATCAAGGACCTGTGGCAGCTGCCCATCATCCCTTGGAACAGGAAACCTCTAGCAACGGCCACGGCAGCAGCAACGGCTAAGGAAACTGTGGGAGGAGAGGAGACTCCACTAACTGATGGGGCACTGGATGCAGTCAAAAAGGTGCAGCAGCCACATGGTGAGGTACTTCCTGGTATGGATGCGACAGCTGCATGGGTAAAGACTTCATCTGGGAACGGTGAGGCCGATTGGGAGACGTGGCACGAGAGGTTGTGCCACATCAACATCCCAATGCTGCAAAAATTGGTTAAGGATGGGAGCTTGAAGGGATTGGAGGTGAAGGGGGCAACAAAGAAGATTGGAATCTGCCCTACATGCCTTGAGACCAAGTTCACGGAGTTTCCTTTCAACAGCAGCACAAGACAAACCAAGGCTCCACTTGCACTTGTGCACATGGATGTGGTGGGCCCCACGAGGGCCCTTTCTCTTTCGGGCAGCCGCTACTTCCGGACCATTGTGTTCGACCACTCACGTGTTGTGTGGGGTGTATCCTCTGAAGACTGTTCTTATGGAGTGGATGCCGAAAGCACAAAGGGAGAGGGGACATAAGATGAAGGTGATCCTTACAGACAACGGAGGAGAGTTTATTGGAAATGAATTTGAGGCGGTGCTGAAGAAGAAAGGGATCCAGCATCAGCTCACAGTGCCCTACAACCCTCAGCAGAAAGGCGTGGCTGAGCGGTTCAACCAGACCCTGCAGGAATGTGCCCGCACTCTCCTTGGGCGTGCAGGGCTGCCGGATCCGTTTTGGGTGACTGCACTGAGGCAGGTCGCTCTTGTGAAGAACAAGGTGCTGGCGACTGTGGGGGAGAAGCAGTGGGTCCCCTACACCCAGCAGTGGTGAGGAGTGCACCAGCAGTCAACATGCTGAGAGCCTATGGCTGCATGGTGGTGTTTCATGTGCCGAAGAAGAAGTGGGGAAAGCTGGAGGCTTCTGGGAGATGGGGTGTGCACTTGGGGCTTGCAAAGGACCACAAGGGCTGGTTGCTATGGGACTTGACCAGCCAGCAGCTGACTGTGTCAAGGGATGTGAAGTTCCTTGAGTCCCTGTACTACAAGGAGTGGAAGCAGCAGCAGCAGAAGCTTCCAACTACACCGCTGATCGTTGAGGCCGATGAGGTGCAGTGGTCTTCGAGGCAAGTGGAGGTTACTGTCTCAGAGGAGGAGATCTCTGGGGTGACTGAGGATGGGGAAGAACCTGAGGTGGAGGAGCAGCAGCAGCAGCAGCAGCAGCAGCCGCAGCAACAGCAGCAGCAGCAGCAACAACAACGTGCTCAACCACGTGCCCAATGTCCGCCTGTACGTCCTAGAAGGGAGGTGCACCCTCCTACCAGGCTGACCTATCCGACTCTTGGCACGCCAAAAGTGGTACCGGCTGGGAGTGCGGCTGAGCAAATGGATGAGGATGAGATAGCCACTGCTACGAGGCTTTGTTGAGATGGTTTGGAGCATTGTGCTGTGAGAGAGATGCTCCAGAGGGGTGCTATATATTTGGGGATGATGGAAGTGGGATGTTACAAGGAGATGATTCTCCATTGAGATAAGTGTTGGAAGAATGTTGAAAGGGCATGAAGCTTGTTGGGATGAGTGTGCATTGGGGGTGCATGCTTCAACTATGGCATTTGTGATGATGTTTGGCAACCAGAGGGGGAGTTTGTTGTGTGATGCAATCATATGCATTCACGTCTGTCTGCCTCCCATCATATGTTCGTGCATTGCATGCGTGGTGTGAGCGTGTGCAAGAATTTGTGTTTGGTGTGGTTTGGATTCTCTGAGTGTGTATGAATTACATTTGCTTGAGCAGATATCTAAAATAACTTCTCTGTTTGAGAGCTTTCCGATGAACAAAGAATCGTCGCTATCGGAGCACGGATAAGAAAGTTACGAACGATTGAAGTTCGTATGCTTTTGATATTTCGATGCGGCGATGGGAACTTGCGGAGTGACTCAATATGGGGTATAGACTTTTGGGGTTTGAGAAATTCGTCACTTCTACTGTAGATGATGCCAAGTGGTTGGGAGAAGCTAAACCAGGTTGGCAAGTGTGGCCAAGTTGGGTGAGGTGGAATTGAGAGGTTGGGAAAATAACAAGGGTGAAAGTTGAGTTCCTATAGTGAGGAAATCGTTTGTGCTTATGGGGTTTCCTTGGTTGGGGACTCCTTGGGGACCTTCCCTCTCGTCCTCCTCTTCCCTCCTACCTTGTTTCTAGCTACTTTAAATTTCTTGTGTGGTTCTTGTGTGGATAATTGTGAGTGAGTTAAGTTTCAGCTCTAGCATACCTCCTAGCGAGCCGAAATTCATAACTCAAAATTTACTTCATTGTTTTGTGCGATTTGAATTGGGAATTGTAGCCACGCTCTAGAGCTATAACATAGTTGATTTTGGTGAAATTAAAACGGTGCGTTTTCGTCGACGGCGTTTCTTGTGAAGTCGACAGTTCTGTCCAGAATTTTAGACCAACGATTTTGAGATATTTCGGCCCCTAAACGTTCTAGACTCCGTCCTTAGTCTCTAACATTAATAGCTTGAGTTGTTTAGGCCCTAGCACCAACATGCATTATTTACCCATATGGTTGGTATCAAGAGTAAGTACGTAACTTTCCCATATGGTTGGTACCAAGTGTGTTACTTACCCATATGGTTGGTACTAATAGTAAGTGCGTTACTTACCCATATGTTTGGTACCAAGAGTAAGTGTGTTACTTATTCATATGGTTGGTATCAAGAGTAATTGCATTACCTATCCATATAGTTGGTACCAAGAATAAATGTGTTTCTTACTAATCTGGTTGGTACAAAGAGTAAGTGCGTTTCTTTCCTATATGGTTGGTATCAAGAGTAAGTGCGTTACTTACCCATATGGTTAGTACTAAGTGTAGGTGCATTACTTACTCATATGGTTAGTATAAAGAGTAAGTGCGTTACTTACTCATATGGTTGGTATCGAGGGTAAGGGGTTAATTTCCCATATGGTCGGTACCAACGGTAAGCTTGTTATTTATGTTGCACAGGATCCGGTCACTTTGAAGACTTACGACGAACTCATTTCTCAACTAAACGCAATCCCGCTCGGTAGAATTGTGCGCGCTGACTTTTGCTACCACCTCAAAGCTGAATCACGTCAAAAAGTGATCCAGCAGATAAGAACGATTTGAAAACGTATAGCTGCTGCTTTCACTAGAATGGATAAAGGAAGAACAAACATTGGAGATAGAATGATAGGAGTTGGGGGTTTCAAGAGAACCTTGTGAGGGATGCGCTCTCCAAATGCTAGCGAAGGATAGTAGGAACCTTCATAGCATAAAAAATGCAACCCTCATCATGAGGTCCTTGAGGTGTCACATGCAAAATCCAACCCAATTGGGTTTTGCCAACGTGTTGCACATTTGCATCCCATGGTAGAAAGTTCTAGGCAAAAGTCAAAGTTGCCTTTCTAACCACCCTACCAAAGGTCCATTTTAATCATGTCTCAATAATCGCCCAGTGTAGATAACATCTTAAATCAAGAAAGAATTCCCAAATCTTGGAAATCTTGTAACTTGATCGATCTTGGTTGGAATAAATAAGGCGATCTTGGTATCGTTGGAAAGCTCTGGATTTCTCCTGCGCGATCAAGCATTTAGACTTGGAGAAAAACACAGAGGTGATAAAATCCAACAGCAATGCATAATGATTTACGCTCATGCAAATGACGCAAGAAAGTATAATGCTCCCCCAGTCCCCTCAGTCCGCATAGGACCTACAAGGTCCATGTGCACCACCTCCAATGGTGCCTTGGCTGATCCCTCCGCACGTGGAAACGGGAACCGCACGAATTTGGTCTGCATGCATGCCTCGCAGCCGTCAAAGGCAGCGCCACCACCATGCACTTGCATGCGGTGTACGCACTTCTCCTTGTGCATCACCTCCAATGTGGAGACAGCCACATGTGCAAGTCGTCGATGCCACGTCTCCCAAGATGCTTGGCCCAAGGTAGCTGACGCCTTTACGGCTGCGCTTGCGCCAATCAGCTCCTCACTTTGCACACAATATTGCTCCTCCATTGAAGCCATGGCAGCCACATTGCCCTATTTATGCCAAGGGAGGACCGGGATCTGCCACATGCGCTTGTGGACCTCTCCCTTGCGTTGTAGGTCACAATAGCGCTCCAAGCCAATAGCTTCGGTGTTCACACCTGCGTCTCACAATCGGCTAGTTGAAATCAGGTTCGCGCACAAGTCCAGCACCCAAGCTCACCATCCATCCGCGTCTCCCAATCGGCCCGTCAAAATCAGGTTGGCGCATCCCATGCCTATGTCTTTTGCCTTGGCGCCAGTCGCGGATGTGACTGTATAGATCGGTGCAGGCTGGATCTCATCAAGAAGATCTGCACGATGTGTCAGGAGCTCCTAGAGACAATCATCCAATGCAGGTGAGGGGATGAAGGAGAACCTTGGCAACCATAGCGGAGTTGGTCATTCCTTCATTCACAAAGAAGAAGAAACACCCTCTCCTGCTCTTCAGGTTCGCCACCTTTCTCGTCATCCTTCTCCTTTCAACTCTCTACCATGACTTCCACTCCTCTTGCCACCATGCTTGTTGCTTGAGGAAGGCAGGGTCCAATTTCGGGGCCATTGGTAGCATTTTCTCCAACAATGGACGCGCTTCATGCAATAGAAGCACACCTCCCCTTGGCCTCCACCACTCTCCTCTTGAGAAATCTCATTCTTTTTTTCCCTTCCACTTCTTTTTTAAAACCACTCATTCCACCCCCAACTCCATAACCAGCACCATCCCTTGAGTGCTCTACACTTCAGCGCCTCAAATCTTCTTCAAGGATTCGCGCACGAATATAATCCACACTCTATTCGGATTGCTGGGAGTTGAGGTTGATGGCTAGGGCAGACTAGGACTCAGGAAGTCGGATCAATATCTCCACGCACAGAACAAGCTGAAAGTAGACAACGCCACCAATCCTGAGCTTCGTGAAGATGTCTCGCATCTCATCCAACATGGGTTGCATTGGCTCTCCAGCGTTACTTACCCATCTGGTGGGTACCTGTCAACGGGAGTTGTGTGTTGGCCCCGTCCTCGCTTGGGCGGAGCCGACTTCGCTGCCAGGTGTGTGGGGAGCGCAGCCAACCAACTGCAGTGGGCAACGCCAACTTAGGCGCTAGGCCACTGCAACGCCATCGATAACGGGGGCCGGCGACCGACTTGACCTGGTGGTCGACAAGGGGAGGGGTGCTGACTTTGGAAGGTGGTGACGTCGACCTGGGAAAAAGCGCCCTGGTAGGCGCCGACGTCGAGCTGTAAGGCACCGAGCTGCAGGGCGCCGAGCTGGGGTGGCGCCGAGCTGAAGGGCGCCGGGTTCAGGTGGTCAACCTGGCGAGGCCAACTTGGGAGGCGCTGACCAGCTGGCGCCGACTTTGGGAGACGCCGGTTTGGTGTAACCGGCGACCGATCAGTCTAGTTGATCCGGCGTGGTTGCACGGTCGACCGAGTTACCCGGGCGACGTATGGGATGATCCCCAGGATCGTTCCTGCGAAGCCGACCTCGGAAGTGGTATCCCGAGGTCGACGTGGCTGGTGGGCGCAGTCGCTGGCGTGTTCTCGGCCTGGTTCCTGCGCTGTGCACGTGACGGGGCGTGGCACACCAACCAGCCGTGGTGCACCTAAGAAGCGGGTGCACCGCCGTCATGGGGATGCAACATTGTGCAGCCGCCTTGCTGCAGTGTTGGCATGCCATTCACCGTGCCAGTCCCGTAGACCAGCTCCCGTTATACGAGTTATCACCGCAGTACCAAGATTAAGTGCGTTACTTATCCATATGGCTGGTACTTATAATAAATGCGTTACAAACCCGTACGGTTGGTTTCAAAAGTATGTGCGTCACTTACCCATATGGTTGGTACCAAAGAGTGAGTGTGTTACTTGCTCATACGGTTGGTATCAAGAGTAAGTGCATTACTTACCCATATGGCTGGTACCAAGAGTAAGTGCGTTACTTACCCATATGGTTGGTACCAAGAGTAAATGCGTTGCTTACTTATGTGGTTGGTACTTAGAGTAAGTCGGTATACCCATATAATTGGTACGAAGTGCAAGTCCGATACTTACCCATATAGTTGGTAGTAAGAGTAAGCGCGTGACTTACCCATATTGTTGGTACTTAGAGTAAGTGACTATTTACTCATATGGTTTGTACAAAGAGCAAGTGCATTACTTATCTATATAGTTGGTAGTATGAGCAAGTGAGTAACTGCGTTTCTTACTCATATGGTTGGTATCAAGAAAAAGGGTGTTACCTACTCAAATGGTTGGTACCAAGTGTAAGTGCGTTACTTACCCATATAGCTAGTGCCAAGAGTAAGTGCGTTACTTACCCATATGGTTGGTTCTAAGAGAAAGTGTGTTACTTACTCATATGGTATAGAACAAGAGTATGTGCGTTACTT